CAGGCTGGTTTGGAGTGGATTGAGGTCTTCTTGCTGCTTTCAGCAGTCTGGCAGAGCTCTCAAACCCCAGAGGCAGAGTGGGGCAAGGAAGGAGCTGTGGTGGTCACCATGAGCCCAGCAGAGAGAGGCAGGGATTTACTACAGCCACACCTGGGCCAAGAAATTACTGGGGATCTCTGCAGCTGTGCAGGTCCTGATAAATGGAATATCTGAGAGAAGAACATAAATCTACTTTCCTAGGAAAATAATAAAAGGATGGAGAACAGTTGTCTGGGGGTAATCTCTTTGCACAGCTTCACCTTCCCAGGGAAGCAGCCTGAGCAGAGCCAGCAGCCCTGCACACCCTGTGGCCAGTGCCCTGACCTTGGGATCCTCACCTGGCCAAAGGCATCTGCCCATTCTGATACTGAACTCTGACATGCTGGAGCACACTGTCTTTATTATGGCCAGCACTATACTGTGCTGCTTCTGAGATAAATTTCTTTTTGGGTTGTTTTTTTCCCCTTCAGATTGGCAATTTTGCTCCTCCTGTGTCACCACGCCCTATGTCTTCATCATTCTGCGTCCATCCCCAAACTGATCAGAAATCCACAGACCTCCAGTAACACAGCCCCTGACATCAGGCTGGAAATTATTCCCTCATCCAGGAAATAGCTGGGACACGCAGCTACTGACGGTTGCTGTGGAGAAGGACAGAGCTGCCCAGCTATTCAAGGTTTTCCAAGCTAAGTCACATGCAGCAGAAGGGGAAGACAAAGTTTCTCCTGCCAGTTTTCGAGCTGTGCCTGAAAGTCTTTATCCTTCCTGTTGCTGGACAAGAGGAGCAGTGTGGATCTTTCCTGAGGCTGAGCCTGCCATGGTGGTGGCTCATGCCTCAAAACTCTGTGAAGGTCCTAATTTCCTATATTTCTTCTCCGAAATCATGCTCTGATTTTGAGCTTTAGATGGATGAAGCATCAAAGCAAGAGGCCCTCAGTCCCAAGCAGTGGCAGACTTGGATCCGCTCTAGACGGGGCTGTATTGAAACAATCAAAGCAGCGTGGACTCCATTCCTGAAGAACACACATGGCAACACCATCCCAGAACTGGAATTTTCCAATCTCCAGCTGAAATTAAATCGCCATGCCAAACCAAAGTGGTATAACGAAAGAGAAGCAATAAAGGTGAATGAAACAAAGTCAAAAGGAGAGAGGAAAATGAGAAAGAGAATGGACAAATCCAGAGCGAAGCAGTCAACACGTGTTTTGAGTCAAGGAAAAAATGTTTTGCTGAAAGATTCGCCAAAACCAATACAGGTCTATGAAAGAATTCAGCTTTAATAAATCAATGTTTTTCAGCAAAAATGGGATTTATGTTTCAAAAAATTCAACCACCTCTGTGTACGAAGCTCATCAAGTTCAGCTTTGTTGCAGGTACGTAAGTTAAAAACATGAATGCACTTTGATTAGTAGATTTATGGAGTGCAATTTGTTCCACAGGTGCTATGGGATAAAAAAGCCCTTCCAAAGTCACCGGAAGTCTGTGACGAGATTTCTACAAAGTCCAGTGAATTGGGCCTGGAGAGACTGGGAGGCTGAAGCATAGGATTAAATAAATCCCCTATAGCTCTTTGAAAGAACTAATTATTAAATATATGTAACTATAAAAAAGGATTTTCTTAATGATAAAATGTTTTCATCTCTTACAAATTAACACAAGTGCTCAGCAACAGCTGTTCTTTTTCTTAATTTTTTTTTATTTAAATTTAAATATGTTAATATAAGTCCTATATGTCAACACTTGAAAAACTTTCCCTCTGATGATGGCTGCAAGCTCTTAATCATGTTCCTAACCTGAAAGCTTTTCAGGCCCCATCAGATACACCATTAGGTATCTCTCAGAGAAAAAAATAAATAAAAAAGAAAGTAAAGGTCTGGCAAAAGGCTTGGAGGCATGAAATGAAACACACAGATAATGTTTCAGAAATTTAGACCCATGTGGTTTTTGAAGAGTGAAAAGCACTTGTGATCAAAGGGGAGAAAGTTTCAGGGTTTTTTTAACAAGACTTTTAGATTTTAAATCATGTATTATTAGTCTGGGCCACTCTTATTTTCATAAAGTCAAGACACTTCATACAATGTAATTCTGTACCCATAACACTGCTGAAGTTAAAATCCTGAACTTAACTGTACTTTAAAAGTTGTCCAGGTTGGCTGCTCTACTGAAACTAGTGAATATCATTTTTAAATTGAATTTACTCCCTGTGTTTTTCATGTATTTCAATAAATACAATTCCTCTTTAAAAGCAAGTGAAATGCTCAAAACACGGATTGAGGTTTCCTAAAACCACAAATTAAAACTAATATTTTGAGATTTTTCACCAGAGAGACTCATAATCACGAAACAGGAGTGAGGAGCCTGAGCAGGGATGAGGAAGGAGAGCTGCCCTTTCTCAAATGCACAGTTTGTCTTTGTGAGGACTGAAACAGCTGCCTGGTTTGGCACAGATGTGCAGTGTCCAGGTAAGGAGGGAGACTGAGAGCCCTGGTCCTGGGCAGGACAGTTTTGTTGTCAGGCACTGTGGGAATAGCTGGGTGAAAGCTTCATGTCAACCCCAAAGCAGGGCAGAGCTGGGGGACAAGGGATTTTGTGATGGAATGAAACTTTGAAGCTGAGATAATGGGAAATTTCAGAAGAAACTTCCAGACAAAAGATGATTTGAAACAAAGGGCTTAAATTCAAGCCTTCTGCTCTCATGCAGAGCCATTTATTTTTTTTTTATCCTCTCCCTTTTTCTTCCCCAAAGAAGGAACTGGCTCCAAGGCCCCAGTGGGAGAGAGTGACTCACTCTAAAGCCACTGCACCAGGCAGCTGCTTGAGATGTGGAGCACCAAGATGCTGGGCAGGGAGTCTCATTACTCACCAGTTGCATAAATCTTTTAGCAAAAGCAGTGAGGAGTCACAGCTGGTTCCTGTGGGATCCCAAGCACCTTCTGAGAGGGAGAGAGCTTGCAGTATCTTCTGAAATTTGTGGCGTCCTGAAGGAGGGTGCAGCATGACATCCCTCCATTTCCCTACATAAAGCCAGATGTATCTAGAGGACCTGAGTCCCCTCGCCAGCAGTGTTTAATTCTGATGTTCTGTTGTTTGTAATTAAAAGTGCTAGAGAGCCGCTCAGTCTCTACCAAATCGTTTTTGTTCTGTTTAGTCTTATTTTCTCTTGTAAAAAGTTTGATAGTCCTGAACTGTCTATTCCTGGGTTGCAAAGTGATGAAACATTTATTCTTTTTATACCAAGGGCAAGACTTTGCAGGAAAAGCCTTTACATAAAAGGCAACAACCCAATACCTATCAAGGACACTCTTAGAACAAATGGTGTGTTACCACAAATGGTGCTAACTAAAACTTCTGGAAAGAACATTGTAAAGGCCCATCTTGCTTGAAAGCGGCGAAACTCAGAAAAACAAACAGCAGGTTGGAATTCGTCCTAACTAAAGACTAGATTACAGGCAAAATGTTCAGCTCTTACCCCAGTCTTTTAGAGGGACTTATGAAATACACCCTCATTAAAGTCTTTTTTATCCACAACACTTGAAACAGGTCATAAACAATTTGGAGTGGGAACAGAAGGAGTGATATGACAAAACACTGCTCTGCAGATTAGAGCACAGACTCCTGAACTTGAGTCCTTTTTCCTGTAAGCAGTTCCATTAGGACTATTTCCACATGCAAAGTTTTGGAACATCATACCCACAAACTATAAAGGAAAATTAAAACAACAAACCAACAGTGTCTGAGTACAGCCAGACCATAACGTTGCAGCAGATGTTGGGATTTGTTCTCAAAGAGTAAGATTTGCTCATAAATGGGTCTTCAGTGCCTGAGCTGGAAAGATCTGCAGCTGCAGTAAGTTCATCATCCACAAAAATGAGGACAGTACAAACGGCACATTTCAAGTAGTTCTGAGTTACAGTCACTGGACTGAGTCCAAAAAACCTAAATATTCATAGTTAATGACCAAGTTCTGAACTTTTAACTCAATACAACGTTAATATCAGCCGTGGTATTTGCAACAGGGAACTTCCTTGGACAGAGAAGCCTGCAGGGAAATAGTTGAGCTGTCCAACCCCCCCTGTGCTGAGGCTGCAAGTCTCAGGGAAGCAGGACATTCAGCTGGGAAGCTGGTGAACCTTTTGGGACAGCAGGAACTTATACAAGGAGAGGCTACAACATAACAGCAGAGCCAGGCAGCTGGCACTGAAGACAGATGAGGTTAGAGGGCAATATTTGACCCCAAAGGAAAGCTGGCAGGTGTGGAGGACATCTGGTTTAGATTGGTGAAGTCTACCATGAGAATGTGGCAAGCACTTGAAGTGCCTGTGAAAATACCAAGAAGGAAACAAACTGCAGTAAGGAAGGAAATTTAGACCACCCACTGGCCCATGAAACACTGAGTTTCTAAGACAGAGAAAGAATGTGATGGGACAACCTGCGTGGGATCCAGAGATACCCCCAAATTACTGGCATCTGAGAGACTTGAAAGTGACCAGCCCTGTAGAGAGCCCGTGAACAGCTTCTGCTGCTGCCATCACTGGAGATAGAATACCCATTGTTCACCTTTAGGACATTTATCAAAACCACAGAATAGATGTGGTTGGAAAGGACCTCCAGAGATCATCCAGTCCAGCCCCCTGCCAAGGCAGAGTCAGCTGGAGAAGGTGACATGCCCAGGTGGGCTTTGAAAGTCTGTCTTGTGTCCATTGACAAGATGCAAAAGCACCAAGGTGCGCTCAGGCACCAAAATGTGGAGCACCTACAGACTCATGGTCAAAACACTGCTCAGGCTGAAATCTTACCTTAAAACTCTGCCTGTCTTCACCTGCCAATCTTACTTCAAGGCATTCATTTAAGTTTCCAAAAACCCGCAAGAACCAAAACAAAACGCGCGGTAGAGAAACCGCTTCCCGTGGCAAAAGCATGCTGGAAATCGCGACCGAAAAGAAATAATAATAAATGCTTACGTTCATAGCAGTAGGCATCAAACTTGCTATCGGGGTAAGGGAAGCCTGTTTGGTTCTCATAGCGATACAGGGTTCTCACCCCAAGTAAACCCCCGCCGCACTGGGGCCGGGCCACGGAGGCCGGGTACCGGACGCTGCCGTCCGCCAGCCACCCGTAGTCGCACTGGTCAAAGCCGTTCCTCCAGGCCACGTAGAGGTTCCCCACGGAAGCCAGGACACCGCCTCGCTCCTCACACAGCTGCCTAGCTTCCTCAAAGGTGAACTTCTGGGGAGCTGAGACGTGGACCACTTCATCTGGAGGAGGAAACAAAAGGGAAAAAACAAAAAAAGAGAGGCTGAGTAGAGCGTTCCACCATCAGTGAAATTCCCTCCCCTTCCTGCCCCAGAGTCCTGCAAGGTTGGGGCTTTTTCCCAAAACACAAGTAATTTTTTTCCTTAAAAAGAAAAGTAATCAGAGATCTGTAAACCAAATGTCCCAGGCTTGAATTTGAAAGTTAAACTGCTACAAAGCATGAGCATTTATAAGCAAACTTTATGCCATGGAGTACACTGCGGCTGGACACCGAGTCCCTTCCTTGACCTCCAGCAGAGGTAGCAGCAGCCCTGAGGCTCCTCTTTGACCCCTGTTGGAGTAGATTTTGCAGCTCAACTGAGTTAATTAAATCCAGTCCATCAGAATTTACTTTTTCCATAAAGCAAATCTTCCACTTCTGCAAGCTTCCTACCTGGCCCTTTTAGCCATTGCTAGAATCTCACTTCAAACACCCCAAAACCAGGAAATATTCTTCACTGGAGAGCAGCTTCTAATGTCAGATTTCCATCAGTCTTCATCTTGCCCCATGTGGAAACACAGGTGAGGAAATGCACAAGATGTGTTGCATGCACAAAGCCCTCTTTGTGTGGAGAACCTGCATTAGTCTAGAATGTTGATAATGTAGCTCAGCTTCCAAGGAGTAACAGCTTATAAGTAATAGCCATCTAGTTGGAAACTGAAACAAAGCAAATAGCACGTCTAATATTTTGCTTCCAAGGTAAATCTCCATTGTGCAGTTCTCTTGGTTGCCTCATTCACCCAGACACTCTAAAGTCAAGCCTCTCATGCTCATGTCCTGGGAATAAAACAGTGAACTGACCCTTTTCCAGGTTTTGCTTAGACTTCAGATAAAACCAACCAGACCCAAAATGAGTGTGTTCAAACCAGCAGCGCAAATTCAAAATATTTGTTGCAAGACAGCGATGCCCTCCCTCAGCCACAGCAGGCCAGGACACAACAGCCACTCTCGCAGGAATACACTGCTTTTCCACACTGGCCATGCAACCTCCCTTACCCCTGCACAGGTCTGAAGGGAACACAGAAAAATGAGACAAAATCTGCATCACCCGAGCAGTTTCATTCACGTCAATATGATGCTTGTCTGGGGACTGAAAGAAATGCAAGTGTGAAAGGAGGCAAGGTGCCAGCTTTCTTTTTCCTGCTAGGTAGAGGCTCTGATTTGTTATTACAGCTGTAGCACCGAGCCCAGAGTGTAACTTGCTTCATACACATTGTGTGCAGCTTCCAGCCTGGAGGTAGAGGGATAGAGCTTGTCTATTGAAGAAGGACAGATAAGGAAGGCAAGGAACAATTCATCCTTAGAATGGTTCCTTCAGCTCTTCAGAGCACACAGATAACGAGGAATTTTTTGTCACATCCTTCTGCATCAGCATGCCAGCTCTGGTGCCATGTGTAGCAAAGAGTGATGGATGCAGTTATCCCACAACCCTGTCCCAAAAGCAGCACCATGAAACAGGGGAGCAAAGAAAGGCCACTCCAGAGCAGCCTGCTCTGCTCTGAGGACTGTTCACTGACCCTCTCACAGCAGCTATGATGTATATGAAAATCACTAGTTAAAATGCAATTCAATTGCAATTATATAGCAGGTATCGGTCCAGTTAGATGAGGAAGTGAGAAAAGCAAAGAACAATGAATTGTCGTGACTTCTGTAAGCAGAAGACTAATTGCAGACAATCCTACAATATTCCTTCTGAGAGAAACTTATAGAATGCCACAGGAAAATGGGTAGACAGTGCAAGATTACTAGAAAAGCAGTTTTTCCATCAAGTGATTTGGATCACTGGCTCCAAATGGAGCGTGTCCACAGCATCATTAAAGTCAGTGCTACTTATTCCTCTGAGCTGTCACCCAATTAAGGCAGAGAAACTTAGTGAGGGGTAATGTCTTGGTGTAAGATTTCAAAATGTTTTTCTTTAAGAGAGGTCACTTTGCAGAGAACTGACTTACCCAAATTGCACTTTCTGGGCAGGAGTCTGCCCCAAATTTGCCTTGGAGTATGCCTGTATCTGCAATAGTGATATTCCTGCACACTTAAAAGATGGGTGTCATACCTTTCTCTGCACTGAATATATTCTACTGACCCCACATAGGCTAATTTTGTTCATCTCTTAAAATCAGCTGCTGTCAAACAGGTCTTTGTCAAGGATTGTTTTACAAAAACCAAACCAAACCAATTAAAAAAAAAAAAAGAAAAAAAAAAGAAAGAAAAAACCAGAGAAACCTCCCACATATTTGAGAAAAAACACTTCTTATCCAAAACAATCTAATAAGTGAAATCCAAAGTATTTAACACCTATTAGGTATATTCAATAATTTGTGACAATAACCTTACAAAAAAGGCAAAAAGGCAGCAGGGTAGTCAGCAAAATTCCATCATATACCAAGTAAATGCACATTTATTTCAGGAATGCTAGTAATAAAATACAGGGCAAAGATGTTAAAACATGTCATCTTGTAATTGCTCTAGTTAGCATTTTTCTATGCTCCATTTCTAGAGCATTTTCCTACGATTCCACAATTCTTATTTCTAAAAAGTCAAGTAGTGGGCAAAAGTCATATTGCAAATAGTAGTAACTTACTCTAGGAGCTATGACTCCTCAATTTGTCTCTCCAGTTTGAAAACAGATTAAAATTCTCTATGATTACATGTGTACTTATTGCGCTTAATAATTTTTGGGATAAAATGTGAAAAACAAAGGAGAAGTTTAATAAAGGCCTTGCTTGATATATGAATCCAGAAACTTGATAGTTTGTTCTGCTTCTGCAAACTTCTCAAACCACCTTACAAAAAAAAAATGTAAAATATGGGGGTTTTCCTGGGGCTTCTTGATCTCATTAATTTCTGGCATGTGGCTAAAATACCCTGATTCCTTCAAAGTACCAAAGAGAAAAGGACTCAGGCCTTGCACAGAAACTTCTTCTAAAAAGCAAGAAAAGTAATTCTGAAGTTAATGAAGTGTATTTACTCCACGCAGTCTCTACAGCTTACTCCTGTTATTGAGAGAACAGCTTCCATATTTAACAGGAGGACTGATCCCACCACACTCTTACAGTGCTTTTATTAAGATTAATGGAAGCTCCTCAGTTTCCCAGCCAAAACACCGAAAACAAGGAAATTAACAGGGAAAACTCATCTGCTCAACAAACAAAATGACATAGCCCCCAACACCAGGCAGGGCAAATTCAATTCTGTGTGTGTTAAACAGCCATTTTTTATACATACAGTGCATTGTTTTTATAGCTGGAGCATTGCTGAGTAACTCAGCAATACTGTGCAGGCAAAGCCCAGGGCTTTTCCAGCAGATGAAGAAAAACTGGTTCTGCAGTACCAGGGGGTGGGGTGGAGAACGTGACAGTGTTTAGGCTGCAGACAATAATGTAATGTGTGTTATTGCTGGCTCCTCTTCCAAACCAAGCTTCAGGATGAAGGAGCAGCCTCAGTGGCCACAGCACTCCAAGAATCCCCAGGATTTTCCTCTTACACGTGTTTGTTTTGCTTGGTCAAAAGAGATACCTGATGAAAGTCAGGTTTTTTCCATCTCTTTCCAAAATACTGGGGCAGATGGAGAAGTCAGATTTTTCTCCTGAAGGCAAAAGCTGACTCACCTACAAACCCTCAGGAGAAAGTTTAAGTTCTACAGGAATCAGTTCTACAAATCTTATCAGCTGATTTTATAGCAAGTTTAATTGCTTTGATTCACTTTCTCTCCTAAGGAGATGTCTTGGTGAACTGGGCATGTTGGTAGATGTGATTGTCATGAATCACGCAACTTAAAAGCAAGGTGGGAAGAAGGGCAGGCTAGAACCAAAGCCAGGGGTCAACACACAGCCTGAGTTGACTGGGGTAGTGGTGCTGGGTTGATGGTTGGACTTGATCTCAAAAGTCTTCTCACCCAGCCCTAATGATTCTGTGGTTGTGATTATCACATCTGGAACTGGGTGCTCATGAGCTTTACCTTGTGGTCAGGTGCTCAGATTCTACAACCTCCACAGTAATCCACAGACAGACATTAGAAAACACAGAGGGATATTAATAATACAAAGAGCTAATCATTCCCATAGGAGGAAATGCTTAACTCTCACAATTTAAACAAAACAAAACACAAAACCAAAAAAAAAACCCAAAGCTTTCCAGTGCCTTAATTCACTTTAGTTCTTCAGTGATAGTTTTGTTTAAGGAAAGGAAACACTATCTTCCACTAAGAATTTGAGAGCTCCCTTTTTTCTTTATTTTTTATAGCATAATGTTCCTGTGGTGAACTCCAGACCTATTTATTTGTTTCTGAGGGATGGAACCCACCAGGTTTATCAGAGATGTCCTTTGGGAGTGTTAGAGCTCCTGGACTCTGTGACTACAACTGCAGATCAGGGTGCCCTGGGTCAGAGACAAAAGCTGGCTATAAGCGACAAAATTCTATCTTTTCTGACGTAATATAGAGCATTCTAAGGGCATTTTCTCACCTGCACCTGTAACCTGTGGTCACTGCTCCTCACCTGGACACAGCCAGAAGGTCAAATAGGACACTGCCATCAGTGACTTCAGTGACATCACAACTTTATTTTTCTCAAAAACATGGAATCTGTTCAAAACTTTGTTCCTGGGACATAGTAAAGTATGTAAAGAAGAAGGAATACCATGACCACTTGCAGGACTGAAACATTCACCCTTGTGCTTTCAGGACCAAGAACTCCCATGTCCACCTCCTCTCTTTCTCTGCTGTTCAGGGCTGGTTCTCTACACACCAGAGTAATAAAGAGATGTCCTGAACAAAGTCACTAATTACCAAAACCACTCTGCAGGGCTGGAAAACCACAAACATCTAAGCAGTTTGGTTCAACTTTAAAGCAGGAGGCTGGAGGAGACGAAGTGTTTTTCTCCTGCACGTCAGAACAAGTCAGTTGATTCCTTCTGATGCACAGCAGCAATGACTTAACTAAACTTTCCTGAGTCTATTCTGTGCAGACCCATTGGCTGAACAGGAACCCTCTTGAGAACTTAACCCTTCCTGATGTCACAGAATCCAAGGCTGGATAAATGTCCAGAAAGGAAAGGCTCATAATTCTATCACAGACCCTGAATTAGAGAAAAAACATGCTTTTCTCACTTTTTTTTGTCCCAGTTTTGAAACCTAATCTAGCTGTTGCTCCAGACTCAGAATAGACTCCAGAGAAGATCCTTAGCTGTCCAAAACACAGAAGAAACTTCTCACCTGAGGCCACATTTTAGACTATGATTCCTTTAATTATGACTATCATTCTCACTGAAATTTCCATGACAACAGCAAAACCGCATGAGACTAGGTGGAAAGTATTCAGAGAACATCTGGTTTTGGTTTTTATCTTTCTTCCCTGCGCTGACTGTTGTGGGGAGATGGTGCATGGGAGGAAGGCTGTGCTATCTTCCCCACAGACACCCCAAAAATAACTCTGAGAGCCCCATCTGCACATGGGGGAGGCTTGTCAGGTATACCTGGGTTCTGAGGGGGCCTGGCCAGGAGACAATCCTGAGGGGGTGGTTTGTGCTTTGGCTCAGCACAGCCCTCACTCCGCCAGTGGGCTTTGGTGGTGGTTCAATCTCCATCTCTGGCACGGCAGCGCTGCCAAATTAACCACACTGCTTCTCTAAGGAACTCAGTATCTTCCTCACCCACCACCCATCTCCATCCAAGGGATTATACCACAGGAGACATCCCTTCAGCTGGTGGTGTTAAGAGATCCTCACCCAGACCTTTGCAGCTCAATCATTTTAAAATCTTTAATCATAAATCACTTCCTGCAGTTGAAAGTACCCTAAATGTATCTGTTAGTGCTTGGTACACTGAAATAAGTGATGAAATATGAGGAATGTAAAACAGTTTGTAATAAAACACCATGCCTAATACCTTTTTAATGACACTTTGACTCCAGGTTCTCATTTTTATCTCCAGGAGCTCAGAAATTTTCAATCTTTCCCACAGCTATTCTTCTCACTGTCACAGCAAAACTCATACTATTTAAATTAGAATTGTGCAGTCTTTAATCTCTCTATCTGGCTAATCTCTATAAATCTGGCTTTCCTCAGAACAAGGAAATGGTAAGAGTTAGCCTAGATAACTGGTTTCAATTTAAGCTAATAGCTTGTGATTTAAGGAGAAATCCACGTCTCTGGCTAATTTCCTGATTCCATATGGCCAAAAAGGAATAAAATCGAGATGGAGTTGCTCCTACAAATCCTCAGTGCAAATACCCAAATTAGTACTGCAAATTCAATGCACATTTATTTTAAAATGTATTGCAAGAATTCCCACCACCATTTATGGCCTTCTGGGGTAACACACCAACAGCAGCCAACAGACCAATAAGTGTTCAATGACTTCCATGGTGACATCCTCGTTATAGCCCAAATTTTGGTATCATTAGTCAGGCTTGTGCCATGAATAGTCATTCCACTGACACAGACCCTCCAAATAAGGACCTCTTTAGTGAAAGCAAGTCTAATGGATCTGGCGTTGAATCAGGGCAGGGTACACAGATATGAGCTTTAAAATTCACATGGAAAAAGTTGTATTTAAGCCCACCCTTAAGAGCCATGGATTCATTTTGCTACGAATAAAGTCATGAGTCACACCTTGCAGGACCAACCTTTGGTGAACAGGGCCACCAGAAACCTGGCATAATTTTAGCTCTTGAACTCTAAGTTTCCTACCAACACTGCAATCTAGTTTAGTTTGACTTTCCAATAACTCCATTGATATTCTGTCTAAATTTCCATCTTCCATAGGTGAGTTGTTCTGAAGTACAAACTCGTAGATGCTGTGTACCTTCTAACAAGCTCCTCCTCCCTTGAAATTAACCTCTGTCCCAACAGAAACTGCACCTGTGCACAGACAAAGCCAGCTGGGCTCCTCAGTCCCGCTTGAAAAAGGGAGTCTGGCTCAGAGGCTCAAGTTTCTGTGAAGGCACTGAGGAATGGTTTATCCTGCAGTATACCACAATGTATACCGCATATGTATACAATGTATACACCACGTTTTCCTAGCATGTGTCTGTTTCTCCTCATCCAAAGAGAGTGATTTAACTCCTCTGCAGGTCAGCAGAACCTACCTGTACTCTTTCTATGTCCTATAAACCCCTTCTCATACCCATGAACTCCCCTGGATGTCACAGAAGATACTGTCACACTCCTGATCATTTTAAAACTCTCTCATTCTGAGAGAATGAGAAAATAATAAAATCTCTCTCACGTACACAAACAAAAAAACCAACAGAAGAACCAACCAAAAATACCCAAAACAAAAAAAAATAAACAAAACAAACAAAAGGACCCAAAGGGAAAAAAAACCTACAACAACAAAAGGGATAAATTGGGGAGTGTCTTTGGCTAATTTATAATAATCTGGCATTAAAGTTGTTCAATATAATGAATGCAATATAATGAACTAGTTATCTACAATATTGTGCTCTAGATTTTGTATTTGTTAAAATCTGGATGTTTCGTATGCAAGCAGATCATGTCACCACAGCTAATAGGCCATAGAAGTGGCACCAAAGTGTGGATGCATCCAGAGTTTTATGACCAGGTTATAAATCTTGGCAAATGAAATTTTATAACAAAGAAGAACCAACTAATGTCCATGAGAAACTGAGGACCTGTGCATTTTCATCCTTGAGGACTGCACAGTCACTGCAGCCTCTTTGAACCACACAAGAGTCTGGTTCCAGGTTGTTCCAAAGCAAAGACCATCAGCCCCAGTGAAAAACGCTTCCATTTTGATTTAAGTTTTATTTTTGAAAGTTTAGTGATAAGTTTTGACCCTGAGAAACTGCTGGCTGACATGCACCCAGGACAATCATCTCTGTATTAGTTACACTTCTCTGTCCTTGAAGAGGGAAAGGAACAAGGGATTTTCCTTCACCCAGGAATTATACAGATTGGGTTTTTGACTAAATCTTATTTTTGTAAGCTAGGAAAGACACAAATTGAATTTAAAAGCATTGGTTTAGGGAAGATTCAGAATCCAATCCCATCAATGACTGGTGGAGGATCAAATGTCATGAATTGTAGATGTTCACAGGTGCTGCTCACTGACAGATGTAAATGGGACATAACTAAAATTAGGACAATGAAAAGCACCAACAAAATACTGTCACTTAATTTTCAAGTTCAAGTTATAAATTCTCAAGCATATATGTTTTCTGGAAGCTTGGCAATACCTGTGTTGCTTGAATTATATAAATCTCCAAGTTGCCTAGGATCTTCAGCTACTAAAAATAAAAAACTTACTGATTTCAGTAACTAAAATCTCTGTAAGTCACCAGCAGGAAAAAAATTTGCATGAACTAACCTATATCTTATCTAAGACAGATTACAAACACTGAGCACATGCATTTTGCAATTGCTTTTTAAAAATATATATACACCTACAAAGGCAGCCTTGCTCAGAATTTATTTATTGTTCTGCTGATTTGTTGTTCTGCTGACTTTTACAGCACTAAATTGAATGCGTTAACAGCCAATGATCACCCCTAAAGATATTTAGTTAGGAATTATCAGGGAATTTTCTAGAAAGGAACTGGCATGGAATAAAAACCTGTCAAACGGAAGCAGTGTGACACACTTAGGGCACTATAGGAAGTGGAAAATGTACTTTAGTCCTCGTTGCAAAGTATCTCTGTAATAATTTTACTAAACAAGACACAGAAACTACGAAATTGTTTTTCTTATTTGTTTCTTTCTGAATCTGAGATCACTCATTATTAAAAATATGCTATTAAACATAGATGGCAATTCAATAGCTGTCTAATTTTATGCCACGGACATATAAAAAGACTCAATTGCATACTTTATGAACTATAATAGACTTAGGACATATACTGTATCTATCTTTGTATATACTTATTTATAGCATATATAGTCTCTCCAGCATTAAATGCATTTCTTTGAAAATACTTTTATATAACATTCAAAAAAACAAGATGCATCAACAGCAACTTTTGTGAGATCTACTGCACTAACTATAGGCAGCTTGAACCCTGACTGTCTCTTTGCCAGACTCCACACTGGCCTTTAATTAGGACCTGCAAGACCACAAACTATAGGTTCCCTCCATTTGGCAATTCCTGTCGCATCCAGAGCAGCAAAAACTTATTTTAAATGGAATTTTCTCCTTCTCTGCTCTCCCACATTAGGCTCCCCAGCCACTTTTAAGTCTTGCAGTGTGTTTCCAGGCTTTGCAGACCCATCTCACCTTCCATGCGCTCCACGTAGCAATAAACATCGTAAGTCTCATTAGGGAAGCGGCGCCCGTACGTCCTGACTCCTTTCTTTCCCATCTTATCTCCAAAGCAGCCAACTCTTGGATGTCTAATTGGGTACCTGGAAATGCAGAAAATTTATCATTTTGATGCCTCAGGATTTTAGTTTTGTTATGTTTCAGCTCCTGCAGTGCACTGGTGCACAGCTCTGAGCTGCATGCAGAGTGTCAGCCACTGTCCTCACACTTTGGTCACACACAACAATCCCTCTGGCCCGGAGCTCAAGGACACCCCACAGCCTCAGGCCCCAAAAGCACAAACAAAAGTGACTTGGGGACAGCAAACTGGGGCTAAATGACTTCATTAGCTGAAGCTGTAATTGCAGGGTTAACCCTGAGATGTGAATGGACCCAAGTTATAACTGTCTGAAACACTCTCATCCATTTTGGGTGTAGCCCCTGGGAGGCTTCTGCCTGCCCAAGGTGCATCTGTTGTTAATAAACATCCACTTTTATTCTCTTAATCTTGCCTGACCTCTGTTCCAGGCAGGCACTCCAAGGCATCAATTATGGCAAGACAGCAGTTTAAGTCTGCACAGGCGAGGCACACAAATTTTGGTGAAAAGCGTGACAAGGGTGCTTTGAAAGCCTCACCTGACAGTCTGGTCGGACACCCAGCCAGCATCACACTGCTCAAACCCATCCTCGTAGGCTGCTTTCAGCTGCTCTGGGCTGGCCATGACGGCGCCGTTGTCCCGGCAGGTCTGGTGGGCCTGCGTGAAATTCAGGGTGTACCTGCTCGTGGCAGCCCGGTAGTGAAACACAACACCTGAGAAGGCAAAAAAAAACAAACCCTTAGTGGCACATTTTGCATTGTTTCTGCAGCCATCACCGCTCTGCAAACTTACCCAGGTGTTGTCACAATGCTGAAAATGGATGGGTAGAATGAAAAATAGTACAGAAAAGTGAGATATTATGGTATAAATTATTTTCCCCCTCTAGTGGATGCTACCAGTAATGACAAAATACCCCCAAAAATGTGCTTTTTTGACTCAGATCCGTTAATCAGTGACAGGCCTGGTAGCAGTTTCTACACATCAAATATCACTACAAATATATCATTTATCACTGCATGGACTGTGGTCAACTTTATCCATAGCCTTGTTTTCCTGCACACACCTCAAATGGTACAAATAAAACAGAGCATGATTTTATTTGGGGTTTTTTCTAGTTCTGAAAAGGACCCTGACAACTTCAGCAGTTTCTGCAGCACGTCAGACCTTTGGAGAGGGAGGCCTGGTGTGAAGATGGTTTTGTTTAAAGCAGGATCTGTCTAGAATTCTGTTTTATACACACACACAGTTCCCACTGAACTGACAACAGCTAGAACAAACCATAAAGGGCACCGAAGTGGCAGAAAAGAGCCATCCCACCTTACAAAATCATTTCCCCCTATTACCACTGTCTTTTACAGTTTAGCATCAAAGGCTTGCCCCTTGCAATACCTAACTAATTTGCAATACCTGACTAATTGTGCTCTAAAATCATCAGAAGCGTTTCAACACCATAAAACATCCACAGAATGGAAACTAAACAAAACAAAACAAGCCCCTAAACCATCAAGTGTTTCTTTTCTCTGATGGTTTTACTGGAGTACTTCATGATGAGAAAACAACATACTGTAGTACAGTTTGGGAAAATGTTGATATTGTAGCAATAATTAATTTTAAAACAAGTCTTCGTTACTAGAGCATTGTTCAAAGATAAAGAAAGTCTGCTAGTTTACAAACAAATAGAAATACAGGTCACTTAGCAAATTGTTGATGCCAGAATTTCCAAGTTGTTTAGAAATCCTTTTTTTCATGCAGACAAATTAAATAAAGTTTTGCCAGTCATCAAAAATCTGCATATAGCCAGCAAAGCACAGAGTACACATTTTTCTTCTTGTCACGATTCACTAAGAAATTAATACAGAAAATATTATCTGAAAAGTACTCAGCCATTAGACATCATTTTTTATCAAAGCCAGTTACGGAGAAACAGGAAATAAAGGAGGAAAGGCTGGGAATCCCCATATTTCATCATTTAACAGGGAGTCACACACCAGCTGCAGCCACTAACTGGGAGCTTGCAGACCACCAGCATCCCCATAAAATGCCTTTCAGAACTGACAAAACCCATCACAAACAGCTTCTCCCAAGCAACAGTGTAATTTCAGCTTCAAACCGATCCAAGTGTTGTTTGGCAACAGTGACAAGTGAAGAATACACCCCGGAAAATTATGGCTGTGTTTGTATCATTACATTAAACTTTCCAGGTGCCTGAAAAATCAGTCATTAAGGGTGTTAAATTGTTAGGTTATTTCACTGCATTATTTGGCTCAGGCCCCACAGCATGGTTCCAAACAATTTCTGGGCAGATTTCAGAGAACAGGGACAGCTTCCAAAGGGCATCTCCATCCTGTACTGGGAGCCAAAGGAGAATTTCAGTGTGGATGGGGGACAGTCTGCTCCCTACAGCCTCACTGCTAAACCACCCCAGAATGCAGTTAGGCAATGTTGGCATTTAAACCTTAAAATCACAAAAAATATTATCTGGAGATTTGTAATCATCTTTTTTTAACATGCAGTATGCATAAAAATATTTATTTTAATATATTCAGAGTTTTGTAGCAGTGGTTGGAACTGCTTGCAGAACACCTGCTGGTATAAATTCAGATTGCTGTATTAATAGCATAGTAAATAAAAACAGGAGTTCAGGTGGCCTGCTTGGTGTTCTGGATCTAGAATTTAGAAATGGGCAGCTTTTACAAAGTTCCCAACAGAAGCAGATAAAATATTTACCCTGTCTCATAACTATGAACCCATAATAATATTCATAAGCTGTGCATTTGGCTTTACTATATGTTATTTTTGAACATATACAAATACTTTAAAACTTTTTTTTTGTGTAGCATTGGTGTTTCTGTAATAAAGAATATTTGATGCAGAATCAGAAATGCCCAAGTATAGGAACCAATTTTAATTCAGTTTGTGTATTTTATGTGAATTTGGACTAATTGTCTCTTTTTTATAAGTTTTGTCCAAGATTGCTTAAGTGATTGTATATGACTTCAAACTGGGCTCAAGAGTTTCTGCTTCTCAGTACAGCCACCAAAATGTTTGTTACCTTTGAGGGAATGCCAACACACACCTCTAAAGCTGTATTTTTAATTGATTTTTTTTTTTAAATCTTCCTGCTGCTTAAACATATGAGTGCATTTTCCACAACCAGCTATTTCACCTCTCATTCCTTGGTTTTTTTTTTCCCCATTTGGAAGCACCACTGCCCTTCCTACTGACTCGGGGAATGCTTTGTTCTCCTCGCCCTGATCCACAAGGTAAACTTCACCTATTCTCAGAGCTGGAGGCTCCTCCATTTCCAGTGAGGAGCTAATGGACATGAAAGAGCCTGGGAGATGAATGGGAAGGAGGACGTCACTATGCATAAGCCTGTGCAACAGCTGCAATAATTAGAAGACCCCTGGGGATAAGAAGATTAAAGTGCAGGACTTTCATTGTTTCAGTTAGACAGAGAGAGGGGCAAAACCCATTGTCCCGGCTTTTGCACTTTAAAACATTTGTAAAGGATTTTTTTTTTTCCCCCCTCCTTTGTCTATTTCCTCCCTGAAAGAAAAGGCAAGAAAGGAGTTGTCCTAGGAACAAATAAAGCAACTGGAAAACAGACTACAGCGGTATAATGTTGTCACTGAACATCTGGCAAACAAAGTCAGAGAAATTACAGGAAGGAGTAGCAGCAAGAAAGAGCACTCATAGGAAAGCAATTTGTAGTATCCAAAATTCACTTCTGTCAGAGCAAGGGTGAACGTCTTTTCGTTGTTTATCTCATGTCTTAGACCAGAAAATAAAAATGTGAAGTGTTTAACTTTTAACAAACAAGGGTTTCCAAGGGTAAGAGCCTGGTTCTGTGGTTACACCCCTTTGGGTTGCAGCTTTATTGTGCATCATGCATCAAAACCCTGTGGAACTGCAGGGGAAGCTAGTTTATTAGCTCCTGGTATGGCTAATAAATTACAGTTCACTTTCACTCATGAGCTCACACTGCTGCCACATGCAGTGTTGGATGTGGAAACATAAAGCTTAAATCTCAGAAGTTGCCTCACCCATCAAATACCTAAAGGGAGAAGGTTGTGATGGCAGTGCTTGTTATCCTGTTCATTTTTGTCTTCAGACCTCGGGCACTGTGGGGCAGACCCCTGAAATAACCCTCGGCCCGGTGCCAGAGCTGCCACACAGTTCAGTTCATAGCTCAGATCCTCCCTGGCCTTAATGCAGAAAGCAATTTACATCACAAATACACCCCAGAAAGATGGGCTACAGGACAGAGCACTGTAGGAAAGGAAGGAATAGGGCAGCATGTTCAGTTCTCCACATGAGTAATTCGTTTGTCTCTCTCTCTAGGCTTTGCACCCATCTTCTGACTCCTGCCTTGGGCTTTGGCAACCTGAGCAGAGGCTTGCCTTGCCAAGAGCTTCAGAGAACTCAGGGTGGGGAGGGAAAGAGCCTTCCCCCCTGCCCTGCCACAGCTCTCCAGGGACAGACACTCCTGCAGCAGCTCACACTTTACTCTCCTGTGCAGGATGTCTGTGTCCATCAACACAGGACTCCTCTGAACAGCTGCAGATAAAGAGAGGAGGGATCAGTGCTGAGCTCCACCTGTGTTTTTAGCCCTTATTACTCTCCCAGCACAGCTCCTGCATCCAGCCCGGAGCAGAACCACCCCAGCCTGTGCACCCCGAGGCTGCCATGCTCCCAGACTCTACCAGAGGGACACGGCAGCTTGGCCAGAACATTTCCTTCCCTCTTCCTACAGGTTTTGCATGCAGACCCTGGGTCTTTAACACCCACAAATTAATTTCCCTTTGCCTTCCTTTGATGGCTGCTACCAATGGTGCTCTTCCCTTCTCAGGAAGATTCCTCGGGATCCATCAGTCAGGGGAGTAAAACACAGCTGAAAAAAATGCAGCAGCCCACGATAATTTACACAGAAGTTCCACATCAAGAGGTGGTAAGGTTTCAAGACAGGTAAATCCCAAAGATTAGGTAAAAGCACCTCTTCAAATGCCTACTTAAGAGATTAAAGAAGGGGATTTCTGCTGCAGAGAGAGTAGATCAATTAGGTTGTCAGCACACAATCTCCCAGGGCTAGCAGCATCACCGAGTGGCAGCGTTCCCACTTCGGAAACAACTTTCATTTATTATCATTATAATGCTTGCAGGAAAGACAAGTTTGCATAAAAAGGAAAATGCGAATTACCATCTATGCTGCCTTCCTAATTCTTGTTTCTTTCCATTAACAAGATCAGTGTCTCAAGCTTGGAATTGTCTTTACAGGCTTTAAAAATAAAAACATACAAAAAAAATTTTGAGAGGGAAAAAAGTAAGACTTTCAGATTTCCAGAACCAACCAGAGACTGAGAAAACGTGGCCCATGAAAAGAGTGTATTGCCAAAATATCAATTAGAAAAGAATAAAGTGCTCTCACTTATTGACAAAAAAAATATTCACTGAGAAGCTATGACAAAAGAGTAAGTAAACTAGAAGGATCCCATTTGCCACTTTGATCCCTTTAAATCCAATTATCTCCAAGGAGAAGAACAAAAAATCAGGTCAAATGAGTGGTTTATTCGGATTGCTTACTTTTGAATACATTGGCTTGTACATGTTCTTCTTAATTGCCCAATATCCTAGCACCACACAAGTATTTCATTAACTATTCAGAAATATTCCAGAATGAAAGTACTGTGTCATTTCATTTCTAGGTCAGATTTTTACAAGATGGCTCAAACATTTCTTATAAAAGTGGACTTCATTACAAGTAGAGAGAAGGAACAAATGTGGACACAGAAAGGTACAGCAATATTTTTTCTAAAATCCTTTCTGGAATTCAAATCACCCGAGGTAGCTCTG